TATAAAACTCAACTTTGCAGCAAAATACAGCGAGATATCCTTGGTGCTGGTCGGCTTAACCAGCACTGGCAAGGACTTGAACGTGACCGATGTTTATTCTTATGTTAAAGTTGATTATTGTTGCTTTAAGGTTCCCCTTCTCCTGTATGTGAAGTTTCCTTTCAAAAAGATTCTCATTTCTCTGGATCGACATCTTTTTCAAATACGTGGCACTTGAGTTTCGGCCACCTTTTAATAACTTACTTTAAGGACCTGTTAGTAGAGCGAGACTAGCTGGATCAGGTCGTGTCCTCAGTTGTAGCTGCTATACATACTACAGATGTATCGAGAACATATTTTTGACGAGTAGACGGAAATATCCTTCTCGGCTTTGTCCGGCTCACCTCACCGACAAAGCGGGCTTCTCTCGCTGGAGCCACCGGGAGCTCAAACCAAAGCTGCCTGAGTCTTTTAATTTGTCAGTCGTCTAAGAATAAAGTTGACATCACAGGTATGGCACACAGGGATGTCTCTGGCCCACTCTGCGTTGTCTTCTGGTGTGCAGATTTTATTTATGTCAGATTGTCCGACCGTATTGGCTTTGTGGAGGCACATGTGTGCTTCGTTTGATATATCTGTGGAAACCTTGTTGGGGTATTACTCTAAATCACTCCGTTATCCCCAGGCATGACTCTTCAGCAAACGAATACGGAGACCCTCTGCCGTCCTGCATGACCGGCATTGCGTTGTGCTTACACGGAGAACGTAAGCACAATGAACGGCTAAATATATAGAAAGAGATTTGCCAACAAAAGACGGCGTCCCATTCTCCTGTGTTGAGACGCGACTGGTCTAAACATGTATCTCAAGGCAGCCTGCAGCGAGATCCCGGTGTCCAGGCAGAGAGGGGCGCTGAGACTGGATCGCCGCCTCAGTATTACCCAGCAGAGGCAGGGGGCAGGAAACCGGTCGCAGCCCTCAAGCCCCACCAGTTGTCTTCCAGGAAGTTTTGAAGCCAGCAGACTTCAAACGCAGCAGAGTGTGGACCAGCTTCATGTGCACAGACTTCTATTTCAAGCATCTCCTCAACCTTGTGCCAGCATGGTCTACAGGTAGGATTATTGAGTTCCGTTAAAGGATGCATGCACTTTAAATAGATGTCGTATTGTGTTTCATGAGCCGACATAGTGACAAAGAGCTTGTGACAGAAAAATTACATCACACAGGTTTTGCTTACAATTTATCTGGGTTAGCATCTTGATTCTGCACGTTTTGTTTTTTTTTAAAAATCTGCTCGAGTCATTGTGAAACGTCTGCACCTAGTCGGGGTAAACAGCCGTCTTTTGTCGGTTCACTCCAATTTATATCATTTATAAACCTATGAAAGTAGGGATTAAAGTTTAATTTTTCTCAGCAGGGTCCCTGTCCTGTTAAATACCAAATGCTTTCATCACTTCCTGATAAGAAAGAGTCCTCCTTTGCACAGCGAGATCCAGCACTAATTCCCCTCCGTAATTAGACTTGACGTTTAAGGCACATGAGGCCACCATCAGAAGAACTGCTATGTCCTCGGTGGCTTCGGTGGGTTTCAGAACTGCGAAAAAGGCTGAGGATATGAATAAGTAATAATGAAGGGTTGATATTTGAGTTTCTGTCATAGCGGAGCAAGAAGAAACTTTTATTGTGTCTGAAATGTGACATTCTTCATTTTCCGCTGCAAAACTGGTTGCACATGTGACTGGACGGATGGGATTTGCATGTCCACAAGCGAAATACAAAGCAAATTCAATGAGACTGTTAGCTTGACTTAGGATAATACATGTAAAATAGGGGCTAGCCCGGTCAGATTTTTTTGATGTTTTGTGCACTAAGACGATAGCTTTGTGAGCATTGGTGGTGCTGGTGAGTCAGAGTGACACTGAGTCAGCTGGCTGGCTCCTGTGGCTTCATATATAGAATACTGAACATAAACTGTGTATGACAGAAGGACAGGATGCATGTGGGTCTAAAAAGTGAAGCAAATGCATAAAAAAACTTAAATCTGAGTTCTTTCTAACAGCCAGCAGGGGGCGACTCCTCTGGTTGCAAAGAGAAGTCAGATTGTGCAGAAGTCTATGAGAAAATGACTCTTCTGTTTCCTTGATTTACTACCACAGCAAACACTTTCCAAATGATTTTATAGACTCATTTGTTAGTTTTATGTCTCCTTTACTGCATGATGATGGGTATTTTGTAAATGATGCGGATGATAAAGCAGGATATGTGTCAGGGCGCGGCTACTTTGTGATTTACAAGCCACTCCGATATCATATCGTAAAGCGTCCTTGAATTTGTAGTCAGATCCACTGCTCGCTTGTGACACCCAGTTTGAAAAAAGCAACATGGCAACAGCCAAATTCCAACCTACACAAACCAATGAGTGATGTCACAGTGGCTACGTCTATCTTTTATATACAGTTGATGGTTCAGGCACAGCGGTGGGTTCAGTCTTCTTATCTAACACTGTGAAAGGAGGCGCAAAATGTATTATTTTGTGTTTCAGGTTTTCTCACCGTTTGTTATAGCCAGGGCAGCTGTTTTTTTCTATTTGTTTGCAGTCTTTATTCGAAGAAAAACTAACTGGTTGCAGCCCCAAACCACAAATTCAATGTACAAGCGGGTGAGTGGTGTCTGACCTTGCAGAAAAGTGATTAAGCGCATTTCTCAAACTGTCGAACTCTGTCTTTAACGGTAACCTTTCCCTGTACTGCAGGACCATAGTGGCTGATAACAAACAAAAATAGTTAGTTTACCTTTGCTAAAACGTTGTTTCTATAATTCACATAACACTGATAAAAGTGCAGCATCCACTGTGAGTTACGAAGAACAAATAAACTTAATCCATCACACGGCACCTTTCGGATGAGCTGTTACCCTCTATTGTGAAAAGTCTTTAATTTCATGAGATCTGGGGGTTTTTGAAATGCAATATAAATAGTGTAAAATAATATTAAATAGACAAAAAATAAAATAAACATCCCCTCATGTAAAATTAAGGCTCAAAAATGTATTTTAATTGTGGAAAATTGCTGAATTTAATAAATTGGTTGTTTTCTTTGTGCCCCAGCTGCCTGAATATTACCCCTTTTTTGACAGTTAGTTTTTATAACAGAGTACACAAATGCTGTTTCAATAAAACTCCATAGTGTGCTCCCATGTATTTGTCCTGAGGCTGACATTCTGCAGGTACACAAACCTTTAATCAATACCGAGTCTATGAACCGCTGAGTGCTTCCCCATTACAAATAAATGGCCCTGCACTCGCTTTTCACCATCATTCAGTATCCCCCCCTATGAGGCCTTATGCCCGCTGGGCAAGCACATAAGGTCACTGGGCATCTGTATGGGCGGACATAATAAAGATGTCAGCGTTTGTCAATGTCACCGTATGCAGTGAATTCAAACTGAGATGATGTTGAGGCAGAAGCAGGGATGATAATGATGCTGATGATAATAGTGGCTAATGTCAGAGGGGTAAGTGGTGAAAATGACCATAGTAATAAGTGTAATGAGGATGATGTGGTTTGGATTGTTTTGATGCTGCGGACGAAGGAGGGGCTCAGCTCCGACTGATAATGCTGCCTTTTTAGTCAAAAACCTCACATCCTCTCCTCGTGCCAGACTCAGAGTCAAGCTTCTTTATCAGCAATTCATATATGTTTGCTGGCCCGGAGTGAAATTCGTACTGCTTAATAACTGTGACTATTATGTCTACACTGAGCCAGTGCCACCCTATTAGGGCAGATTAATCTACCAATGCTCCCTCTGTGGTGTTGTACGCACAATGCATCACAATGACTTGCACTCCTGGTCTGATCTGCAGCACAGAGGAAAGACTATGGACTCGGAGTGAGAAACAGAGCCGTGGAAATGGCGATTTAGAGTGGAGAGAGGGGAAGAAAGGGGGAATATAGAACGGAGAAAACAGATGGACAAAAGACGTGATCGAGAAGGGGAATGAGGGGAAAGATACATAGAGAAGGAGGCGATGTAGCAGAGAGAGATGGGACTGCTGCGGCACTGACGTCATAGACTGCTTGGAAAGGTTTCCCCCCTTATTATCTCTCATTTTCTCAACAGGAGGTTAGCGCTGATAAGGAAAACTATCTATTAGACGCTGAATAGCCTTTTGAACTCGGGAGTAAAATGACGAAAGTCTGTTAGTCGAGCTGCCGACTGTTTACAAGGCTGTAATTATGTGACACAAAATCAGATGTTACCCCGGGTTTCATCTGCATGGCGGTGGATATTATGGGTAAAGAAAATCACCGCCGTCGCTATAAGCAGGCGCAGTGAACCGCAGGCAGTGCGATCAAGCTATGCCGACAGATGTTCCAAACTGCTGGAAACCCAGAGTTGGGCTACTGCTAAAAACGAGGGATTTATCAGTGTCCTTAGCGCGGCATCAAGGTTGCTCATCTCAACATATGCACACTCACCGTATGGAGGTTTGCGTCGTAAAGTTTCAGAACTCTATTACAGGTTCTTTACTGGAGCAATTAAAACCGAGTGATATGCCGCAGGGTAACGGTATTATCGACCGTTGGGGATTCCAGCCGGGATTGTAACAGTTCTAGTTGACGCTTTTGACTGACACACTTTTAAATGGGATCAACAGGGAGGAAATGGAAGCCTTGGAGGTGCCGGTGACATTAGAGCGATGTTTGCAGCTTCATCTGACAAGCGCGCTCACCTCTCCAGAGCATTGAGGAACAACACGATCAAGCCGAAAACCGGGGGTTTGCCGGGAGGCTGCAGAAGGATGTAGAAGTGGCAGCGCACCAGCAGCTCCTTTCAGTTGTTCCAAAAGGTTGCATGATTTTTTAAAGGAGGCATTTCGCTAATCTTCAAGATCAGCTTACCCTTCATGTAGAAGCAAACACTTGTATAATGTCTTACGAGGCCCTGGAGGAAGTTTTCCACAGTCTGCAGGAAAAAAAAAATAGCCTTGATGATGTATCCGGAGTTATTTCCGCTTGGGCTTTGAGACTTCAAATCCATTACAGAGTGTGTGTAGTGATAGCAGGGGAGGGGCGGCAGGAGTTAGTTGGAATGATGTAGGATTTTAATAAGCATGTTTTGACAAATTATGCCATCAAATTGCATTTTGGGTGTTACATCCAGATCAAGGTATCTCAACCTCGTTTTGATGATTGTAATAGTTGTATTAGCTCGAAAAGGCGCAATTATGACTGGAGTCTAAAGCATTCCTGTGATTTACACGCAGTTCAAACGAAAACAAAATGACAGAACAGCATATAGATTGTCAGCATGTATGAAAAAAATCTCACCTCCAAACTGCTCCTACTGACCCAGCAGCCGTCCCCGACATTAAAAATGTCAGCGTCCTCCTGATCTGACTTTTACAAGTGTCTGCAGCTATCAAACGCAAATCACAACAATCTAAATAAAGCTGTGTTGGCCTCGAGGTTCGTGGGGGGGAATTCAATGAACCGTGAAATCCTGCATTGTCACATTACTGTTCAGTGGGGGAGGAAAGTTAAGACGCTGCTCTGCTTGAACACTGATTTATGCTTTATTTCACCGCGGCGCTTCGATCGGCCCGCGTTTTTACATCTACTCTGACAAGCCGGTGCCAGCGTAGGTCTCCCTTTACAAGACTTGTTAGGAGCTCGTTAGGAAAATGAAGGTATTGTATTTTTTTTTTACAGGTCATAGACTTGGAAACGAGGGTTAATTACACGACCATGAAGGTAACAGAGCCGTAAAGAGCACTGGAACAGAAAGTGTGTAGGGGGGGAGTAAAATGCATGGTGAAGTCAAGCGTGTGCCCGTGACTTCACATGTAGGTTATCGACCAGCCTTCGCCACCTTGACATCCTGCCTGAGGTGGATTTTTTTTTCCTCATTCTTTTTTTCTTTCAGTGAATTACCACACATACATCAAGTCACATCAACTCAGCCTGGTTTCCCATTCAGAACCTTCCTATCTCTCCCCCCCTTCCCTCTCTCTCTCTCTCTCTCTCTCTCTCTCTAAGTGTGTGGCGCCATAGTGAAAAACACTGCAGTTCTTTCAGCCAGTCAGTCAGAGCCGGTAGCCTATACTCTCACT